CGCTTTAACTCTTTGACTGCCGGCTCGTCACACGACCGCTCCCTCCAGATCATGCAACACCTCTTTCATGGAAATAATCCTAATAATGACAAACATGGTCGGAATTTACGCAATATTTCATGCGAGCGGCAACATTTCAATTGGACACAATCGCCTTTTCAGCATCCTGCCAGTGTGAAATGATGTTTTTCTGTAACATTATGCACCTGCTGTTCACGGAGAAACGTACTGAATCGGCCTCAAACGGTTCGGAGTTCCAACAGATGTCGCAATAGGGCAACAAGGCGGCACATTTGTGGAAACAAAGCACAATCCTCAACACGGCAGCGTGAAGATACTTTTTAATTTCTGCAGCGGTTTCGCAACAGCTGCAGCGCTACCCTTGTCAAAAGCTTCTCAACTCACTCCAACATAATTCTTTGGCCCCAAGAAGCCGGCGAAGCACCAACCTTGTCCAAATGAAGCTCCTCAATCACGCCAAAATAGTTCTGTGCCACCAAGGTGCCTCAAGATGACCGCACGGCACTACTTTCGTCCGAACCAAGCTCCTCAACTCATTTCAACATAGTTCCTTGGCACAGGATGGTGCGAGATGGTGGAAAAAAACACTGGTTTGGTTGAAACATCCTGTCCCAAGCAATACCTTTTTTTGTTTGCTTTGGCCTGAGCACGAAAACAGCAGTTTAGTTTTATAGCAACTAACATGGGATGGCTAACCTAAAAACGCAGGGTTTCACTGTATTTTGTCCTTCTCATGTTGAGAAGGAGACACAACATGATTTTCTTTGTCCATCCATCCATCCGTTTTCGAATCCGCTTATCTTCACAAAGTTCGTGGGCGTGCTGGAGCTGATCCCAGCTTTCTTCGGGCAGTAGACGGGGGACACCCTCAACTGGTTGCCAGTCAATCCACAAACATACAAAATACACACAATCTCACCACGGGACAATTCAAATTGTTCCATTCATTTGTCATGCGTGTTTTTTGGAATGTGGGGGACGTAGATGAATTGAGAAAACCCATGCAGGCACTGGAGAACATGCAAGTCCACGCAGGAAGGCCAGAATCAGACCCTACACCTCAGGACTGTGAGGTGGACGTGCTAACCAGTTGCCCAACATGCCACCACACACACTAAAAAAGGGCCGTGGTTTCGATTCAAGGAGGAGACACTGAGAAAAATGGCGTTGAATTTACTCCCATTTTATTTTGTCAAGAGGGGTTGCACAAAATAGTCAAAAAAAAAAACGTTGTATTAAACACGTGCATCAGCATACGGAGGCAGCCAGGACAATTAAAAATATTGTCCACTAGATGGCAACAGCTTTGCGTTTTACCTCCACCACCTTCGTGTCATTCAATTGGGATGCATGAATGTTGCACTTGTCGGAGTTGGCTACTTCAGCTGTCATTTGCTCTTCTACATGCCTCCAAACGAACTGAAGTGGCAAATAGAACAAAATAAACTGGAGCTCTTATCACTCAGGAAGGAAACAGGATGCACTTGATGACCATTTCCGCGCCACGTTATTACGATTGGGCGCAACAGCTGTGAGGCGTTGAGTGCACTTGAAAAAGTCCACACGCTGGGTGCGACAGTGCGTTCGGAAAATTACAACCCGGACACAGAGGCGTAATATCCTAGTGATAGGCCCCGAAACAAAAAAAAAATGTTTTTGACCCCTTCCCAAAACACAAGCGCACATCATACGCGTCGCTAACTCGTCTGTTGTCAACTGCCTGCCATCTCAGACCTTCACCAATAGAGGGCGACATTACACCGTGGAACAGCAGTCACAGGCAACTGCATGCAAACATGACGAACCTCAATTTACTTCCCTTTGTCCATGTTTTCTTTTGCGCGGCCACCTCACGTCACAAATGATCAATTGCTAAAAACAATCAAGTTTATCAGTTTGAACATTAAATATCTCGTCTTTGTAGTGTAGTCAAAGAAATATAGGTGAACTTGATTTGCGTGTCAGAGTCGTGTGTTTTTATGGATGTTGAACACAACGTGTACATGTCAAGCGAGTGTGAAAGCGGATTAAAACCAGTTTAATAGTTATGGCATCAAGTTTACGTGGACATTCTAAAATGCATTCATCTTTGCATCACATATGTTCAAAATGAGGATGTTAGTTGCGAATGTTCAAATTGGGATTTGTTTTTTGAAAGTTTTATTTCTTAAAAATATGCATTCTGGACTTTTTGATCGAATGGATTGAGCTTTGAAAATGCAATATGACAATGCCCTCAAAGAAGCAACGGAAACAACAATAGGCACCCCCCCACTGAAACCACTTAGTAAAGAAATGATAAGGTAACATCACAGTTGGTATTAAGCTGAATATTTATTGAATTGAAAGTAAAAAAAAAGAAAACAACACATCAATAATTTAAAGTGAAAGAGCCATGCATTGTTATTCAGTGCAAATAATGGCTTCAAAGCCACAAAAAAAAAAAACCAGAAAGACAACTTTTTAAAAACACACAATAGGAGAATACTACAGATGGCAAAACAATCAAATACTGTTAAAAGTCTGCACCTGTCAGACATTTGAGATATAAATTATTCAAACCAGAATTGGACCCAGTGGCCTTGAGCGAATTAGCCTCCAATGCTGGCCATTATTCTCTCGTAATATCACATCTGATCACATCAAGTGCTGCGCTCTTTTACATGCGTTTAAGGGCCAATATTGTGTCACACCAGCGACGGCCGGCCAACGAATAACCCGGGAAGTCATCAGGCAGCGCCCGTAAGCAACTGATTTCCGCTCCCCCCGATTCCAAGCGCGCTGCCATCCCATCCTGAACGAGTGCGCGCACGTGCTTCAAGAGTCAGAGCACGGCAGCAGGTCGTATTTGACGTAGCCCACGCGGTCCACCTGCTTGCTGGGCGTCATGCGCCAGTAGAAGCGATCCCAGGAGAAGTAAGTGTAGCCTGAAGCGGAATACAATTCAAAAGAATTTGGATTGGTTTCGATTCAAGGAGGAGACACTGAGAAAAATGGCGTTGAATTTACTCCCATTTTATTTTGTCAAGAGGGGTTGCACAAAATAGTCATTTGGATCTTGATGCATTTTTAAGTCAAGGTACAGTCCACTTTAAAAGATGATTCTATTTTGTGCAACATTTCCTCCTCTCGGGAGCACTTCCTCACTGACCTAACAGCGTTAGTAGTGAGTAGCGTTTTGCAACACTGACCCCTGGTCGCCAATCAACGCTTTAAGGCGGGAGCGGCATTTACCGTTCAACTGGAAGACATCGTGAGGCTCGCTGGGCACGCCTCCGAAGGCAGTGTGGATGTATCGTGGGTAGCCCCTTTCAACCGTCTGCGTCTTCATATCGAGCCTGTATTGACACGCGGCAGCAAAAATCGGCGTGGTCATTCTTCTTATTCAAGTTCGCGCCCCCACGTGCGTTTCGATGAATCGGAGCTCACCTCCAGTATTTCTCCCCGCTGAAGAGCAGAACTTTGGTTCTTCCCCTCTGCAGCGCTCCTTCCACCGTCCTCACGCTGGCAGGCAGGCCGAGCTTCTCGATGCTACGCGGGCCCAGAAAGCTCTGTCCTGTGTACACCCAGAACTGGCGCCCTAAAAAGGCCAAACGGTCGAAGTTAGTTCAGTGGCAGCGTCTCAATGCCGGCGATGTATCATGACAGGCGGAACCGTGAAACGCTCTTCCCGGAGATGGCGCAAGGTACACAATTCACCCGTGTATCCACCCGTCAGCGTTCAGAAATCAGCCTCGTTTTGAACTCGACGGGCCCAGATTCCATACTGAGTGTGTACATTTGGGAGTAAACGCAGACTAAATCATTATTTCACTACAGATTATTTCAGTGACATTTTTTTGTTCGGTACGGTGTGGTCAATTTCAGGTGCCAGGGCGCTGCCCCACCATGCGGGTTGCTCACTCATGAACAGAATCTGTGAATTTTTAATAGCGGCTGCTAGCTTATGCTAAAACTGCTTGGCCGACTTGATGCGGTTTACTTTTGTCTGCGGAGTCTCACAGCCAATTTGGGTTCGAGCGAAACATGTATCGGGGCTCACTTTTCTCTTCAGAAACTAGGCGGCTCGAGAATAGGCAGCCGCTCGCCTAGTCGCAACACCCTAACTCAACTTCTGGTCCCTATGGGAAGCGGTGACTTGTCTTTCGGGCTCGCGTGAATGCGTGAAGCTGACGTACCGGAGAAGAAGTAGAGTTTCCTGGTGACAAGATCTTCAAAGGCAGCATCGATGACCGTGGGCAGTGCCGGCCAACGCTGGGACACTCGAAACGGACCTTTGAGATCGCCGTTCTGAGCTCTGCTGGATCGCGTCCAGTAATATCTAATGAGATCAACGCACAACGACGTGAGCATTTCGGACTGTGGTGTGACTCAAACGTGACCGCCGGGTTGTTTGCCTTACCCGTCGCTGAAGAAATATAAATAGTTTTTAATGACGGTGATGCTGTCAAATTTGTTGACTTTGCAGACATCTTTGGTCGTCGGGTCCACAGGTGTTGGGGCGGTCGTGGTCGTGGGCCGAGGGGCAGCCGTGGTGGTGGTGGGCCGAGGGGGTGTGGGAAGGGGGCCTTCCCTGCGCCCTGAAAAGAACAGCAAGTTCAGCCATTTTAAAAATGCTTATATTTATGTTTTATATACTTTTTGTCTTCTACTTTCTCCCTTTCTTAATTTTGCTGCTGTAAATTGGGAGACAAAGAAAGGTTTCCTGATCTTATCTTATTTCAATCAAGAGACACGACAACCTTTTGGCGCGGCGGTACGGCTCGCCTTACCGTAGAGATACTGAATTCCCGCAATGTCGTCTTTGTGCAGGGAGAAGTTCTCCACATAGGAGTACATGGGGTACATGAGCGCCTGTCGAACGTTGGAGTGATCCAGTCCCAGCGCGTGGCCAAACTCGTGGGCGGCCACCAGGAACAGGCTGTAACCTGCGCCGTTTGTCAACGAAACAGGTCAAGCGTCGGGAAAAACAAAGTTTCTCATATGTTGTGTACATTGTTTATTCTTTGCGGATTCGGAGCTCAAAGATGTGAGGGCATCACTCCACCGCGCTAAACTCCATCCTTTGATTTCTCACCTTTATCCCGACACAAGCCCCATTTCTTATCGTCGTCGTAGTTGGCGGTGGTGGCGCCCCACAGCCTGCCGTCGCCGCGCCCGTCGCTGGTGCACGCGTCGTACACTTGACCCTGGAAGGTGAAGGGAAAGTGGCACGGCTCCCCCTCCGAGTTCCCTCCGGATACAGCCGTGTCTGCTCAGGTGGAGACACAAACATCAGTAAGAAGCGACCCAAGGGTAGCGACGGGCAAAGTGAAGCCTCGCGAACCAGTGAGACGTTGTCACTCGTGTATCAGTCAATGGTTCATTCCTTGACGTTTCATTCATTGTAGCTCTCTAACGCCCCCTGCTGCACAGTGAGCAGTATTGCTCATCCAAACGCTCTGTGCGCACTACACGGCGCCGAAACTAAAGGACTGAATCTCAACTATTTCTCGATGGACAACTGCGCGACTGACTTTTTCTGAACGTCTGACAAACAAACTGAATTTCAGAACTAACCCCAGATGACTAAATCACAAAACAATACTCCAATGTAAGCTTTTGTGAAATTGTTAAGTATTATCATTTTATGTTTGAGCGTTACAGTTTAGTCTTTCATGTTAAGGTTACCTAAATTATATTCTCTTTCATAATTTCTGAAACATGTTTATGCTGAGAGCATCTGATTGGCTGAAGGAAAGCAGGAAGTGTTTGAGTCGCCGGAAGGAGGCGTGATCTCGTTGGTACTGCGGAGCAGACGTTGGGAAATAAAACCTGCGTTCAAACGAAGTCCATTTCTCCTTTTGCCCATTCTTAACATAGAGCCATCCTTTTGAAAACTACGAACCCTTCAACTTAGACTCCTCACTGGTGATGGACAAGCGAAGCTTCATGAAGCACTGGTGATCGTTTTTGACTCCTCTAGATGGCACTCTTGGTTTAAAGATGCAGTGGATTTTCTATTGCACTAAATGAAGAGCCCCTTCGAGAGGAGTCAAAAAGTGCTTCACGAAGCTTCGTTTTCCCATCATTACTCCTCACATTCACTCACCCTCTGAATACATGAACTCGCTCGGCGTTGGCGCCGGATTCAAACAGTTTTCAACCCTGTGACACGCCGTCAGTGAACACAAGCGCCCCCCCCCCCCCCCCCCCCCCCCCCCCCCGC